AAAAAAAACATTTGAGCAATGCACTGATGATTCACACTCTGTTGAATGCATATATTGCGACACTAATTGGATAATAACGGAAAAATCACAAGCACACAATGAATTCCTAGATGCTAAACAGTTTACTTACAGACAGGGCAGAGGTACTTTAGATGCTGCCGCTGTCTTACATCATAACATTGTCTCCTCCTTAGACAAAAAGGCCAAATATGTACGTTGTACCTTCCTCGACTACACATCTTTTTGACTCAATACCTACATGCCTTTTATTAAATAATAAGCTCTCCCTTACGCAAACTGGGTCATGGGCTGTTAACTGGTTGCATTCTTATTTCTTAAACAGGATGCAGTATACTGTATGTAAGGGTGAATCTTCTTCTGCCTTGCTCACTGAAGCTGGTATTCCTCAAGATGTTGTTTTCTCTCCTTTTCCTATTTTGTTTTTATATGAATTAGCTCTTTCTAATGAAATAAACTTCGTCCGATACGCTGATGATCTTACCGTCTCGCTTCCCGTTAAGTCCTAAATCAAACTGTTACAAACATAACTGCTTTCTGTCAGACATCAGTCTAAGCTAAATCGTCTTACATTAAATCCCTCAAAATGTCAGACTACTGACTTCTCCTTTAGACATAAACGTGATCTACAACGCCTGACCAATACACATAATGCTTGTAGCATACACGGGACTATAATAGAAACTACGTCTAAGACAAAATACCTTAGTATAGTTCTATCTTCTGACCTTACTCGGTCATCCCATATTTTATCGATCTCTAAGATGTTCCCTCTAAACTATATGTAGTCACTCAACCTCTGCTTTTACAATTTGTTAACTCGTGTATCTTACCTACTGTACTCTCCTGTTTCCCCGGGTTATTGAAAAAGGACTGTGTCATTTTGCGAAGGGTATTAACGGTTGCCAGTAAGGCGAGTGGTATGTAACTTAGCCGGCTTGTCACTACATTAGTTGATAGACATAAAAACTCATGCGAGAAATGGACTAAATCTATATTGTCTGACCCTTAACACCCCGTCTGCTCTCAGATGTCTTCATTTATCTCATCTGATAGAACCAGAAGCTAGCACACAAGATTATAAGCTAATACTATCAAGTATAGGAACTCAACGATAACATATTTGGCCCATGTTCTGTGCGATAGAGACAATGTTAAGCGGGAAAAAAGGGATGAATTACTATGTTGTTAGCAAAATAATCGGCTCTCCTATTTATCTACTATTTGTAATCTATGGTGTGACAATATCTCAATTAACTGATAATCTTAGCTACTAACATTAATATTATTTAATTTTTTGTACACATTTATGACTTCACTATCACTACAAATACCAAATACGAACTGCTATTAACAATCCTGTAATATTATCTTTAAAATTGCTTTTAATGCTATTAGATAAAATCTGGTGCAATATTGTACCAAATGCAGGAAATTCCACACTGTAACACCAGTACCGTTTTGGAAGAAAGCAAATAATAATAATTATTATTAATCATGGACACAAATAATTGGGGTAAGCGCGCTCTAATTACAAACCAGAGGTGTAGTACACATACCATGGTACCGAAATCACGGTGTTGTTCAACAAGAAGCTGGACAGATTTGTCAGTGAACTCCGATGAAGACGACTTAGAATAATTTCTTTGATTAGTTTTATATTTTCAAATACGAAAAAGGAAATGATTGTAACAAAATTTTCTTGTTTCAGATTGTTATTTGGGCTTAAGATCAACCCTGCTGTAGGACTATTATAGATACTTTGATTGGATACTGGATAGTAAGTTACTGGTGTCATGCGTCTAGTTCTTTGTTTTATACAAACTGACTTATATCAGTGAAATATAGCCACCCTACTAGGTGACTCGCTTTTCCCGACGCATTCTAAACTGTTGCAGGACGGTTGGAGGCAGTCTACAAGAAACATTTGACTTAGGTTTCTTGCTCGTTGACACTCACTCATCGGCAAGGCGCATCTGCAATCCCACGGAACTCATGTCCCTTCTGAGATTTGAACCCAAGTCACCCAGTGCTACCGCAACTGACCTCCTGTAGGACTGTAGTAGATACTTTGACTGGACTGATTTCATCCTACCTCTAGACTAGATTCTATCACAGTCAAGTTTGCAATATAAAATTTGAGGTATCTGTGAAATACAGTTCGAAAAATTCTCATCACACATGTCAACACGTCAGTTAAAATAAACAAAATATTAAGGAATTTAAGAGTACGGATGAGGCTGATAATAATCGAATCGATACTACTCTTGATAACATGATCAGGTAAGAATAACCGGGCTAAGTAAGGCGTGGTAATAAATTGTTTCTCTACATATATGAACGGAGCAGGAGAAGGGAGGCTTAGTTCTACAGGTTGCTATCGCTTCAGATTATTGGTTGGTCTTCGAGAAAGAAAAAAACAATGAAGGCTGGAGACAATCGATGATATGGCTGGCTCGAAATCGTTCTCAATGGCTAGCGCAGATGCATCCACTCCTTGTGATTTATAATACCCACTAAAACTATATTGTTCTCCATTATTATTATTATTACTTTTGTGTCATATTTCTGTCTACTGTCACTATTTTGCATTTCTTTTACTTTCTTCTCTTGCTTTGTGTGCTACAAGGAGTGGAGTGTGGCGAATTGAACTGCCGCACATCGCTGCAAAGTTCTATGTTGAAACCAATCATCAGTCAGATTATTTTGAAAGCAGTATTGATACCGATCTTATGATTCATACCCAAGGACGAGGCTGGCAGTCTTCCACCTGCGTTCATAGGATTTTTGGAGTTTTACTGTTGTCTCTCCAAGACATTTATATATATATATATATATATATATATATATATTACTCCACCCTTATGTGAAGGCTGCGATTACTAATCCCTCATAATTTGCCTTTCATATATTCCATCATATACATTGATTTCACAAGTGTCTGTTTGTGATTGATTAGATTGTTCGAAATGTACGTATATATTTATTCCTTTAAGTTTCAAGTGGTACATAGGGGGCTTCAAACTACGGCTTTGAAGTTTCGGTAGTAGTGGTGTTTATTTTTATGGGGTGGAACTGTTAGCCTCACGTCCAACATTTTCTTCTTCACCAGCTTAGCGAGGTAAATGAGTATGTCGGCCGGGGATCGAACACCGAACCATGTCCATGGTAGGCTAGCGCGTTCTATCACTGAACGCACCGACGTCGAAATGCATGTGTATAGCACAAATAAATCATACTTTCTCAAACAACCTTTGTCTTTGAATAACGTTAATCAAATTTAAAATACAACAAAAGGAACTAACTGTTTCGCGTTTTAATTTAGTGCAAAAAAGACTCTAATTAACATAAACTTGTGATGTTCATGATGAGAAAAGTACAACATTCCTCAGAAGAATATAAAAAGGTTGAATTTGGCACAGTAGTGTGTGTACTGACTAATTCAAACTAGCCACACACACACACACACACACTTCAGAACAAAGGCACATGTAAAAGGTAAAGGGTAAGGAAATGTCATAAAACCATCTTACGGATGAAGATATACATAAAAGAATAATTATATGCAAATGATTTTGAGTCATTTCATAAACAAGAGTGCTCAACGATTGATTCATACAAAAGACTCCAGCACAGAAAACAGTATCTCCTTAACATGACCTAAAGAGTTCGTGGATTGGTGTGCCACCACATTTTCATCTCACCTTATTTCAGCTAAGATTGATTGTCAAGGGAAGTGGTTTGGCATATGCAACACATTTTACTTAGCCACTTTAACCGATAGAAATTTACCTCATCAATTGACATTATTCTTCTTACATCACCTCATTAGTATTTCTCACTATACTGCATCACCCAAAGAAGGAAATTGAATGAAGACACAACTATTATTATTCCGTTGGGAACATAGGGCTTCAACAACACATTTCCACTTTCTTCTATTTTCTGCCATCCTCTGCAGCTGTGCCTGCAATTGTCAAAACTCTCATCTCTTCCTCATACGATCTCCTCACTGTCACCCTAGGACGACACACTCATCGTTTCCCATCGGGATTCTACTAGAGTGATGGCCTGGCGCACGATGTCATTCGACGGTCTCATCAACGTATACTCACCCGTCTCCATTTACTTCTACATATTTTTGAGCAATCAGCTCTTGGTTGGTTTGTTCTCAGCCAGAATTTCTTGTTGGAAATTTTTCCCGGCTGGTTAGTCATTTGATCTTCAATAGGGAGCGAAGGTAGCTGTTGGTAAAAGTCTGCAACACGTTGGAAATCCTCTTCGTTACACACCAAGTTTTCGACCAGTATAGAAGGACCGACTTTCCCATTGGTATTGAAAATCCGAACGAAGATATCCAAACTGGTTTCAGGTTGATGAAGGCGTATCTTGCCTTCTCGATTCTGGCTGGTTTTGACATCTTCATCCGTGCTTCCTAGATAAGTGAAGGAAGTAACCTCTCGTTGTTGGTGATTGCTGTTGGTTGTTGTTGCTTGTGGTTGGTTACCTTCATCACCTCCGTCTTCTCTATGCTCACCTGGAGTCCTGTCTTCGTTGCCAGTCTATTCTACCAGTTTATCGCTTTTCGTCTGTAAGTCTTCGAGTTTGTGTGACATTAGACATATATCACCTGCAAAATGCAGACCTTCCTGTCTCCTCACTCCCCACAGTCTGAAGGCACCAATAAACTTCCCTTACTTCAGCATTCAACGGTCGTATCTTAAAGTTCTATAGTAGAACAGAAAGAACGGTTCCGTGGTACACATTCTTTGATGGAACAGGGGATAATGTCAGGTCAGCACCAAAGATGACACAAGTTGAAAAACACTAAACAAAAAGACCATTGTATTTCACATAGTATATACATATATATATTGATGTGGTTTTGTTCTCTGAACTGGATGGTAAACTAACCATCCAGCTCAGAGAACAAAACCACATCAAAATCATCCACCTGAGCTACAAATCTTCTCTATCATATGATATATATATATATATATATATCACTGTATGTAGACTATTCAACTGAAGAATTCTACTGAAATTTAATGAATTCATCAAATCCTGAGTTATTAACATTTGTTGCTTGTTTTGAATTCTTATCGTGAAATAAACGTCCGCAATTTGTGTATAATTTTGGATTTCATCAGCGATCAGTCTGTGTGAGAATATAAGACCTCCAGAATAAATGAAATGGTCAACACATTCAATCAGCTGATACCATAGCCTTCAAGAATATCTGGGAAGCATTGTTTCGACTACAGGTGAAACAGATTAAGACGTCAAGGTTAGAATTGGAAAGGTAAGACATCTTCATTACTCTGAAGTCTATTTGGAACTCTTCCGCGCTCAGAACAAAATTCAGATTTTTAACTCAAATGTGAAGTTAATCAGTTTTTTTTATAAGGGTCAGAAACTTGGCGAGTGCATTATGAAAAGCAGGTTACAGACCTTTGTCAACAACTGCCTTCGCTCCATACTGAAGATCAAATAACCAGCCGGAAACAATCAGTAACACAGAACTCTGGTAATGAACCATCCAAGAACCGATTGTTCAACAAATATGCAGAAGAAAATGGTGATGGATTGGGCATATGCTGAGATCATTGGTTGACATGGTGCACTAGGCCCTCGAGTGGAGCATCCAAGGATGATATGGAGGAGGTCACACGAGGAGGAGATGAGAGACTATACGCAAATGTGGGGCCAGCTGAAGAAAACCGCAGAAAATAGGACAAAATGGAGACGTGATATTGAAGCCCTATGTTGCACTCGGAACCCAAAGGAACAATAATGATAATAATAATCCTTCAAGAAGGAATCAAGCTGGGTCAGTCTTTTAGTATCATCTTGCATCTCCCTCCAATGGGTAAACTGCATGCCAGATATACTCAGATTTTTACTTGATAAAAAAACTGTTCAGTGTAATAGGTTTCAATTTATACATGCTATAGAGTCGCATCTGCTTTGAACACTTTGAGTGAGAATCGCTTTTTTTTATTCTATTTTTTTTGCGTTCTGAGTGGGAAATAGGGCTTCAACCCTAAGATGTGAAGTATGAATAGCAATGGTTTTAAAGGGTGAGGTTGCCTGTTTCACGTCTAGCTTTCCCTCTTTTTTACCTGGCTGACGACTCCGGTTATGTGAGGTTTAGGAGTGCTATGGCTAGGGATAGAACCCCGTAACACACCAGCGCACTGGGAGCGCTTACATCCTCTTTTTCCTCCTAAATGAACAACAGAAGACAAACAATACTGGAATTAGGCCTTGGTCAGGCTATATATAACTTTTTTCAAAAAGAAAAATGTCACTTGAGCTACACAGAGAGGTGAATGCAAAACACGAAACCACATTGAATTATTTTAAGTTGATACTATTTGCACCTGAAGGTTTCAGATACTGGTTTAAGTCTTCTAGAAGACATGAGTTATCGATGTTCAATTCCAATTGAGTACTTCAAGTTCACCTCACAGTTAGTTAAAGGTTAGGAATTCATTTATTAGATAGAACTATAAAGCAATGTTTTGGAAGACACACACGAATGTGATAAAATACAATGAACATAGCGGTGAACAAGTACGTTAATCGAGGTCTCATTAAATAGTTTGAAATAGAAATTGAAGCCTGGAGACCAGAAATGCATAGTAATTAGGGAGACAGACAAAGACAGAAAACATAAAAATAGAATTTTGGCATTGTAACAGGGTTTAGCTCCATCTTTATTTAGTCAGAATAGTTATTACGCAACGCGATGATCAAGTATTATTTAGAGATAATGTTTCAGGCCCAATTCACTGCTCACTATTACACGGTGCAATCAGGTAGGTAAACTTCAAGAAGAAAATCAATGGGGTGTATTTTTGCATTTAGAACTTACTGGGCCACGAAAAAAGACGTTTCAGACGGACATGGAGTTATGTTTATACAACTAATACTAATAAATACGTAGACTTTCGTCAAAAATAAAAATGACTACCCCTGAATAACTGCAACTAGAAAATAAAACACATGTGAAGACATTTTAGCACCGACCCCACCAGAATGACTCACTGAGTTTCAATAAAGAACTTTTCACCGAATTACAGCAGTCCAAGTTGCCACACTCCATGTAGCACACAAAGATAGACAAAATGGAGAAAAGAGGTTCAAAAGTACTATAATAAGCAGAAATGTGATGAAGAAGGAATATAAACATAAGGGTTTAATGGATATGCGGGACCACAAGAAGTTAATGCATCTGTATCACTCAGAACAATTTTGAGTCATATCACCAATAGTCTTCAATCATTGGGTCCAAGGTTCCCTACCAGGAAGCTTACACCTCCCCACTGGGTCCATACCAGAAACTATCGAAGACTTCATGAACTGACTCCATGTTTTGGTTTGACCGTCACAAACCCTTTTTCTAAACTAATCTTATGTTGGCTTAAATTGATCATCGAGGAAGGTGATGGCTAGGAAAGCGCAATGTGCCCAACTGCTGTAGCACCACAACCTAATCTATTGACTTACTCTACTTGCTCAAAACTCTACGCCTAGCCTGCCGCAGTATTACCCGCAATACCATAACATCACCAGGCTTTAACAATCGATCGGATTGCAGTCATTTAAACCTGTAAAAATTAACAATTACCTGAGCCATGTGTTTATCAACATCTTGTAACTCATTACACCTTGTCCAAAACACGCGAGCATATCGTTTCACTTCATCTGGTGTTTTTCCTTCGACATCCATTGATATAGCTTCTAGATCATCACGACCATGTTTTTCGTTTGCCTTGATAAACTGTTGGAAATCACGTTTTGACCAATTTGTAAAACCCTGTGGAGAAATAAAAATTACAAATATTTGAGATCAATAAAGAAAAAGAAATTTTTCCCTCAGAACATTCGTTCACTATGAGAACAGTGAAAGACGAAACACGCTCTTGTTTGTCTTACCTGTGTTAACAACTCTTCTTTTTCAGCGATTTCTTCTTCAGTCAGAGGTTCAGCTTCATCTATTCTAGCTTGTTCTTCTAGACGGTCACGTTCACCATCTGGTCCAGCGTCTGGATTTCTAGGAATTTTGTATCCAATACTCTTTCTACAATCAAAATAAGTTATCAAAAGCAGTGATAACATTTGTTTCATGAGGCGTGAACATGCTGTCTTAACACTTAGGGAAAGATGTCGTTGAATTCACAGAGAGTGATTAAAGATACCAACATCAAAGATAAAACTATGATATCTTTGGATGTAACATTTCTGTTCACAAATGCGACGGTTTATTACACATGTAAGCAAATGAATAACAAGTCAATAAGTATACTGAGATATGAATAGAAACCTCTTGAAGAATTCTTATTAAAAGTGTACCATGAATATAAGTTTTAAATCTGATGGTGAAATCTACAGACAAGTCTCTCTGTCTGTCTGTTTTCGACATAGAACTTTGCACAAATGTGCGGAAGTTCAAGTCGCCACATTCCGTGTAGCACGCGAAGCAAGAGAAGAAAGTACAAGAAAAGCATAATAGAAACAGTGAGCAGAGGTGTGAGACAAAGGAGTAATAAAGAAATACAAAACAGTTTCATTGGAGATCATAAGTCACAGGGAGTGGATGCATCTGCGCCACTGAGAACGATTTTGAGCCATGTCACCAATTGTTTCCAACCATAGATTTTTACCGTCCCGAGGACCCCAGCCTGGAAGTCTACACCTTCCTACGTGGCTTAGACCAACTGTTGTGGATTTCATTGACTGATGCCAAGTTTTTGTTTGACCGCCGCTAGCTTTTTTCCAGCCTGACCCTATATCCGCTAACATTGCTCGTCGAGGGAGGCGATGACTTGGCATACGTAACACATGTCCTAACCATCTCAGTCTTTGTAGCTTCACGACTTCGTCGATTGATTTCCCCTGTTTACCTAGAACTCTACGCCTAACCTCCATGTTGCTCACCTTATTATGCCACTTTACACGGGAAATAGAACGCAGGCACCTATGATCAAAGACAGCTAGTCTTTTCATGTCTTCCACTCTCAGTGGCCAGGTCTCACAACCATAAAGGAGGACGGAGCGGACTGATGAGCAGTACACCCGCCCTTTGGTCGATAGTCGAACATCTCGTCTACGCCAGAGTCGGCGTAAACTAACAAATGCGAAACGAGCCCCTTGTATTCGTGCTGAGATTTCGTCAGAGATCAGCCCGTTGGGGCTGATGGTACTTCCCAAATAAGTGAAGCGGTCAACGTGCTCTACCACTTCACTTCCTATTTTTAAACTAGGCGTCGATGTAGTCCAGTCCTGTAACATCATCTTGCATTTGGCGGGAGCGAATCGCATGCCAAACATTCGTAGATTGCTGCTCAAGGTGTTTAGAAGACTCTGCATTTCGTCAGCGTCTTCGCCTAGAAGGACTATATCGTCTGCATATTCCAAGTCAACGAGATTATTCCCCGGTAGCAAGTCAATCCCTGAGTCGCTGAAGTCACCTAGGGTTAAGTCCATTAACACATCTATGATGAAGTTGAATAGAAAAGGAGATAATGGGCATCCTTGACGGACACCACTGGTCGTCATCAGTTCAGATGACAGCTCGCCGTAAGCCCTCACCTGGCTGTATGAGTACGCGTAGAGTGCCTTAATCAGTGCAATATATTTTCTCGGAATTCCCTTTACAGCCAAGCATCTCCAGAGAACTTCCCGATCGACAGAGTCGAATGCTGCCTTTAGGTCAAGAAATATAATGACTGTTGGACGCCGGTAGGAATGCCTATGTTCTAGAATCTGTCGGAGGGTGAAGATATGATCAATACACCCTCTTCCTGGTCTAAAGCCTGCCTGGCTCTCTCGTGTTTGTGCTTCCCGAGCACCACTCAGTCTACGCATGATTATTGAGCCTAAGACTTTAGATACTATATTAGTCAAGCTAATCCCTCTGTGATTATCACAGGAAGACTTGTCTCCCTTCTTGTATATGGGGATAATCAGTGACTTACACCAACCCGATGGGACTTCTTCTGATTCCCAGACGCTGCCTAGTACCTCAGTTAATCCGGACAGTAAGCTGTCTCCACCGTACTTAAATACCTCTGGAGTCATTCCATCAGGTCCCGCTGCTTTGCCTAGTTTCAGATTGGTGACAGCTTTAGTAACCTCAGTTAGTGACGGAGGACCTGTGTCTATATCCCATTCAGGGAGGTGTTGGATGCTCGGAAGGTTGAGCGTGGCTGTGGGCAAATTAAACTGCTCCTCATAATGCTCTTTCCAACGATCCAGTCGTCTATCCTGGAGCTAATTATAGTGCCATTTTTTTCCGAGATTGTCTCACTAATGATTTGTCTTCTCCCACCCGTTTCCCTGATGAGTCCAAAGAGTTGCCTGGTGTTGCCTATCCTCAAGCTTTCTCCATCTCTTTGGCTTTTGTCGCCCACCACTGTTCACGGTCCTTGCGGAGACTTTTCGTAAGTTTCCTCTTGTGCAGCTTTCGCTCCTCATTGAATTCGGAGCTCGCCGGAATAAGTCAAGTGGATAAAGTGGCACAATAAACTCCCCCATTGGGTCACATGTTAGCATGTTACTTTCCAAATAAACTAGAAAATAGTCCTTAAAACAATCCTATTAGGAAATTATCATCTTATTGCCAATATATAGATGATGCATTCATCCTTTGTGAAAATAATTTCGACAAGTGTGCGATAATATCGTAATTCAACGAAGCTCATTATAGCTATCAAATCCATCTGCGAAGAAGTCTTTCAAAGTAAAATTGTCTTCTTAGACATCCTACTCACACGTAGAACAGATGGTAGAATAAAAACGAATTTGTTACAGGATTTCATCATGAGCTGACATTGGTAAGAGAACCATTAAAAAACCTGGCAGTGCTGGACAGCTGTTTCGTCCTAGTTTGTGACTATTCAGAAGTACGTACTCACCGCCAAGGTTCGAACCCAGGACCTTCTGGTTACAAGGCGAGCTAGCTTATAGACCATTGAGCTACTGGGACCCCAACCAATGGCCCATGAATTCTAACTTCTGCCAATTCACAACATAACGCGACCACTAGCCAATGTCTCCGGAGAGTATTTATCGTCACACCCGACTTGCTGAGACCTACTGGTCACGAATTCTCACTAGAACCCAAGGTGCAACAGGTCGGGTGTGACGACAAATGATCGCCGGAGACATTGGCTAGTGGTCGCGTTATGTTGTGAATTGGCAGAAGTTAGAATTCATGGGCCATTGGATCGGGTCCCAGTGACTTAATGGTATACGAGCTCGCCTTGTAACCAGAAGGTCCTGGGTTCGAACCCTGGCGGTGAGTACGTACTTCTGAAGAGTCACAAACTAGGACGAAACAGCTGTCCAGCACTGCCAGGTTTTTTAATGGTTCTCTTACCAATGTCAGCTCATGATGAAATCCCGTAAACAATCAAATCCCTACAAACCAACACTTGAAAAACAAATTTGCATGAGAAAAGTACGCGAACAGGACAATATACACAGCTTCGTTTCTATCCAGTACGAAAGGAATTTGGTAATGACCCTTAGCTATGGGATCAGAATTATTTGTTGAAATGCAATTGAAGATGAACTTAAGATCTTATATGAAACATTAACTGAAAATAGCTACCCTGAAAAGTTCATCATTAAACACGCAACTAAGAGTGTAGAAAAGAATTCTCCTGCATCTGCTAATAAGAAATCTCTACATATGAGGCTGGTATTTAAAGATGATGTACCGAGTGAAATAACAACCAACAAGTTGAGAACATCGACTCAAAGAACTTTTGATACCGGGGTAAGATGCAACTGATATTTCCCACACGACCGGTTGCGATTCCGAAATTGAGAGATGCAGGTACATAAGGTAACCAACTGTAATTATATCTAACAGTTCAACTGCTCCTGTAGCTGCTCCCTTAGGAACTTGGTTTTTCTTACTCGAAAACACCTACCAGTGTGGTGAAATTAAGGTATTACTAAAACTATCAACAGTCATATATTAGATCAACTCGTTCAAACAGACCATAAAGCCAGATAGTGTTGAAAATTCTTTCTCTGTCATCTACCGGGTATTGAATAAATTACCAAAGGCATCTAGTTACCACACACTCCAAGTAGCAGAGACAATTGGAATTTGCTTAAATCAATCCGTATGCAAAAGAAACAGATTCAGCTACTATTGCTACCCTGGTCTGTTGTTAAACCTTTAAATTGATAAACTCATTATTTCATTAATTTATGTGATATTGACTTGGGTTTTAGCGACGCATATTAACACTTAAAGATATTTTTGAGGCATAATCTATCGATATTACTCATTCAATGTTATTTAAAACACAAATTTTGTCATTAACAATAATTGTTGAAATTATTATGGTCGTATAATTGACAAACCTAATGAAGAGGTTATCGACAAGAATATTTTTGTTCATGAATCAGTCTTTTGTGAATTTTTAATAGCTATCTTCAATCGATGAACTGTGCATAGTATGAATAAACTGGAAGGTTTAGAAGTAATCCCCCCGTGACGACAATATGCTGAGTGATGCAGTCACCATCAGTCGTTTACAAATGCAGAAGCATGATTTTTAACCTTTTACCGTTCACAATGATCTTTGTATCTAGGACACTTTGAATTCTCAATAACCGTCATTTAAGACCACTACATTTCTATGCAACGGGGCATTTGAACTGACTGTCTCTATCTAACTATTACTATAGGTTGAGTGTGCTCGAAAATAAAATCTGCCTACGCATAAATTATTAATGTTGCCGCTCAAGGATATCGCACACACACACACACACATCAGTATATGTGAACTAACTGAAACCGAGTTTCAACAGTGCACTTTGTACAGAAGTGCACCAGTTTCAAGTTGCTACACTCCATATATTGTAGTAAACAAAGGACAACACACAAGAGATTCAAAAGAATAATGATCAGCAGAAATGTACGAGAAGAAGAATAGTAATGTAGAGAAGTATCTAAGGGTTTTACCTCGCCAAGCCAGTAGTAAGACTGGTGAGGAGGGAAGGTTGGGCATGACGCCTGCTAGCAACCACATCCTGTAAAAATAAACACTGCTACAGAAACTTCAAGCCTCTACCTTGAAGCCCCATGTTCCACTGGGAACGTAAAGGAATAATAAAAGATAGATACGTGAAATTACAGAGAGTGAATCCATCTGCTCCCCAATGAGAACGATTTCAATGCATATGATCACTAATAGCCAGTCTCTATCCACAGATTCTTAGAATCCCAACCACACTAACCAGGCAATCTACACGCCACCCTGCCCACGTCATATGGGTTAAACCAACCTGTGAAAAACTTCACAAAATGATGTCAGATTTTGGTTCAACTAGGCCGAACTGTTTCCCAACTCAACCTTATGTCAGCTAACATAACTCTTGTAGGAGGCGTTGGCTTGGCATACGCGAAACATGTCTGAGCCATTTCACTCTCAAGTGTATAAGTGAACGGAACGTTTACTCTCTGAGTAAAAGTAGGTAGAGACAAGTAGATACAGAGACAATTTCAAAATATCCATTTGAAAGTAAGAGATTTAAAGAACGTTTTTATGAACCGAATAATATAACAGAACAGGCGACGTGTAATGTAGTTAGGTGCTGCTCAATAACCCAGTACTGGGGGCTATGGGCCATAGTTAATGTATGAAGGCTAATGAAACTACCCAGTCTCCCCCTGGCTGAAGTAGGCGAAGCGGGGCGATGGTGTAGTGGTTATTGAGAACTCCACATTTTTAGTAATACATAATGCTTCTCCAGAAAATTGTGATAAAAAATCTTTAAATAATGAATGGAAATAAAGAATGTGCTTGAAAACTAGGCAGGTTTCTGTTAGAAATTGGTCTTAAGTAGATGCTAAAACTGTATAACTATTGTTGTTTTATATTTTCCAACATTGTTAAATTTACTCCATGGCATATTTTGAATCTGGATGTTAGACAGTTGGAAGCAGGAATTATTCTTCGGTCGTCAACACTAGTCAATAGTAATCAATTATGTACAACCTTAACGCAATTGGTGTTCCCATAGGGATTCAAAGCCATGTTACCACCCAGTGCTGTAATCAGTCACAAACGTCATCAAGTCGACGGGCAATGTTAGCTGACATAGGCTCAGACTGGAAAAGAGCTAGTGGCGGTCAAACCAAAGACATGACTGCACCAGTCAATGAAATCTACAACAGTTAGTTGAAGCCACGTAGGAAAGTGCAGGCTTCCTGGTTGGGGTCCTCGGGACGGTAAAAACCAATGGTCGGAAACAATTGGTGATATGGACGGCTCGAAATCGTTCTCAATGGCGCAGATGCATCTACTCCTTGGGAATTATAATACCCAATGAAAATAAATTGTTTTTCGTTATTACTACTCTTTGTCTCACACCTCTGTTTACTGTCTCTACTTTGCATTTCATCCACTTTCTTCTCTTACTTTGTGTGCTACATTGAAGGAGTGTGGCGCCTTGAACTGCAGCACATCGGTGCAAAGTTCCATGTCGAAAACAGACGGACAAACAGATCAAGATCTGAGATTGATGTCTTGTATGACAGTGATAGATGCACTAGTAGAGAACTACGGGTTAACTGGTGTCATACGTCTAGCTCTAAGCGCTAGATGACTCGATCAATCAAATTTGCTAAATGGTCATCTCACCGGTGCAGTCGATGCTTAAACATATTGTCTGTAAAACGGTAATGCACACAAAAGTTCACGATTTCCCAGTAAAAAGAGCCTGCTAAAATGAAACACTTAATCACCACTCTCGACAAAAATTGTGTTCTTATTTTCAATTACAAAATTTGCCACTAATCACCAAAAAAACAACATCCCAATAAGGACTTCATTAGGTGTTTTCCATCTGCGAAAAATTATTATTATTTCCTTGAATTCCAAGTGTAGCATAGGGCTTCACCACAATTTTTCATTTTTTCTTGTTCTCCAAAGTCCTTTCTAGCTGGCTCACCGATTGCTTATAAGCTTTCAATTCCTTCTCACACAATCTACTCCATGGCGCCATCGGATGCCTAACTCGTGGTTTCCTAATCACGTTCCACTCGAGGGTATAGCGTGATATATCTCTCGACAATCTTCTACGAAAAATGCAAAGTATCAATTCAATGAGTACTCATCACTATTTTCCCATTTTCCACTAACTGCTTTTGAAGAGACGGGAATTTTTCGCTTGGAAAACCAAAAATATAAAAGTATGAATTGTACCAAATGATAGATAAGACAACTTTTCGACAGTATGCACAAGCGAACTAGACGCTAAAAGCATCTCTGTCAACATTTACAACTCCTATTGTTCAAATCAGTTCTACAAAAAGAAACTTCTACGTTTCTAAGAGTTCCACAATCTGATAATATTGACGGATGGATAAGAATGGTATTTTAATGTATACATAAGAAAAAATAATACCAACCTGAAAGCGTAGATTTCCTTATCCAAAAGTTCAAATAGTCTAGGAGGGAAAAATTGGAAATCTTGTACATTTGGTTGTTTCGGAGGTCTAGGTGGTTTTGGCGCTTTAGGCTCAGAAACACGAAGAGCTTCCCGAAAGTATGCATCCACTGCATAATTTGCTTTACGTTCACGTTTTGGAGGTTCTATCCAACCCTGCAAAAGACAATAACAAAAGTTTTGAAAAATTATAGTAAATATATATAATTGCATATGTTTCAAATTTGATCATGGATTGGTACCAGTTACAGAACCATTGGAAACCAGGAAGTGCCGGATAGTTATTCCATCCCAGTTTGGAACACTTCACTATACTGTCTGCTAGCCAAAATTGGTAGACAGCAATCTACATCAATGTCTACCTTCCAAATCTTGGTCATGAGAAAAGAATAAGAACAAAGACTAACTCAACAACCAATCACAGCAGACTTCGCGTGGGCAGATACGATTCGCAGACATATGGTCTGACCTTCGAAGAAATGGCTACAAGGAGATGACAGAATAACTTTTAGCAGGAAAACAACTAATCAGAAGACGCTGTTTCTCTGCTAACGATAACAAATAATAATGTGCATAAACATCTATAGATACCTCTTGATTTTCTCAAGAAACAATCTGTTACCTGGCCCTTGTCTTCTGTCGTTACAATATGACCCCTTGAGACCACCGAGGATCGAACCCAGGACCTTCAGGTGACAAGACGACTTGGCATACGATTCAGCCACTAGGACGGAACTCATTGGTCCATGAATTCTAACCTCCATAAGTTTGTGATTTTTATCACGACAGCCAGCCGACGCCATCGGCGAATATTTGTCCTCACACCCAACTTGGTGGACCCCGCTGGTATCAACTTCTCACTAGAACTCAGGGCAACTTCGTTCTGTAGCCGACCTTCAATAGTGAGCATCAGATTAATTTTCAAGAATTAATTTATGGGGATTTGACTTTTTCCAAGTTTGACCACGGATTGATATCAATTAAAGAAGGTCCTGGGGTTCGGTCCCTAGGAGTGCGGTTATCCGTGCATACTGCTCAAGCATCCCAAACAAGGATGAGACAGTCGTCTAGCACTCCCCGGTTTTTAATGCTACTCTAATTGATGTGAATCCCTGACCAAACTTGAGATGAATCAAATCCCTGCAAACTAAATTGTGGAAATACGCACATATAATATACACACATCCTGATTGTATTGAAAAAAGACAACATACCTCCAGCAAAGACGTACGACTTTGCTTCTCTCGATAGTCTTCTCCTTCATATATGTAAACCGATGATGGTGCACCATTTTCGTCTGCTGTATCGAATTTCAATGCTCTTAAATTTGACTCTCCCAACTTGGCTAGCTTTTCATTCATTTCTGCTGTTTTTTGTTCACCACGAGCCAAAATAATATCAATATCTTCATCTTTGAAATCACTGTCTTTACTACGGAAAATATAATTAGCGCCATGTCGAATCATGTCCAAAACATCACCCTTTTGTAGCTGATTCGATTTTTGTTCAACAAGACGACCTGAAACAAAAGTGATCAAGGAAAACAGTTAGAAAGACTGTGTCTCGGCAAGAAGTATCAGGGGAATTTAATTAGCGTACTAATCATCTTATGCGTGAAGTCAAACTTTATATACCTAATACGCACGGAGTCACCACTGACTTTGAGATCTGTCATAGCAGAGCAGTAAGACTAGGTAAATTACGCTATATTCATAAAGAAGAGAGTGTTGAATGAAGTGTAGTGATACGCAACAGGATATCTGATTGGTGCTAGGTCAGGTTAAGGAAAGATTACGGTTAGGTTTAGGCTGGAGTTAAATTATGCTAACTGAGGGGATATTAGGGAGCAAACCAATCGACAACCTATTGGTCAACAAATATGCCGCCGACAAATGGAGATGGTAGGATACACACGGGGACCGTCGGGTGAAATCGAGTGGAACCCGAATGGGAAGCAACGAGTTCGGCGTAAGCCCGAAGATTACAGGGAGGAGATCGTGTGAAGAGGAGATGAGGGACTATGGGCAATCATGGAGCCAGATAAAGAGTGAAGAGAATGGAATGAAATGGAGATGTGTTTTTGAAGCTTTACATCCCACTCGGAATCCAAGGGAATAATAATAGTAATAATGAAGCTTGATTAGGGATACATTAGGGTTAGGATTGAGTTAGGGGTTCAAAATTACTTCTTAGAGGAATTACTCCTTCCAAAGTCATCGGTTGCTTTCGCGTCTGCTGGGCGCCTGTATGTCTGTTTTCGACATAGAACTTTGCACAAATGTGCGGAAGTTCAAGTCGCCACACTCCGTGTAGCACGCGGAGCAAGAGAAAGTACAAGAAAAGCATAATAGAGACAGTGAGCAGAGGGGTGAGACAAAGGAGTAATAAAGAAAAACAAAACAGTTTCATTGGAGATCATAAGTCACAAAGAGTGGATGCATCTGCGCCACTGAGAACGATTTTGAGCCATGTCACCAATTGTTTCCAACCATAGATTTTTACCGTCTCGAGGACCCCAACCAGTCAGGAAGTCTACACCTTCCTGCGTGGCTTAGACTAACTGTTGTGGATTTCATTGACTGGTGCCATGTTTTGGTTTGACCTCCGCTAGCTCTTTTCCAGCCTGACCCTATATCCGCTAACATTGCCCGTTGTCGAGGAAGGCGATAACTAGGCATACGTAACACATGTCCTAACCATCTCAGTCTTTGTAACTTCACGACTTCGTCGATTGATTTCCCCTCTTTACCTAGAACTCGACGCCTAACCTCAATGTTGCTTACTTTATTATGCCACTTTGCACGGGAAATAGAGCGCAGGCACCTATGATCAAAGACAGCTAGTCTTTTCATATCTTCCACTCTCAGTGGCCAGGTCTCTCTGCTGGGCGTCACCTTCTTATAACTACTACAACATACTACTTTCCCACAAAGACAGTTCACCTGATTTGTAAACTTCACCCTTACTAGTAACAAATAAGCAGTATAAACTTTGATTTCTTTCCGGGAGAAACACTTCAAAAAAGCGTCAAAGCTTAAGAATGGTGACCCATGCGATGTGAACGTATAACTGACCTTGAGCAACCAGTCAGAATAGCCCGTGTTTCTCACATAAAAGTAGCGTTTATTTACTAGAAAAATAAAGATAACAAAAACAAAACGCCCTAGTCCTTTTGGTAACCCTAAGGAGCTATCGAACCACTACCGAAACAGCACTTAATAACAAGATCGAGATGAAATTTGCACCTCAGTTCATGCACAGAGATCATAGTGACTATAATAATGGTGGGTCCCGCTATCCAAGGAATAGTATGCGCTCAAGGTCATTGGTGCGCTCACACCCCTGGATCCCTATTCTTTAACTTAGCTCAAAGAGCATCATTACATGATGTTTAAATTACGTATACAGCGATTTCATACCTCAGTGAAGTTTCCTACTCCAAAAATTCGTTAAAAAAAATCGCAAACCGAAGAAAAAAAATGGAGGCATGCCTCAGTAAGCGTAACATGAATAGAACATATCAAACTAAATAATAATATTAAAACACAAAATTGGTATATTATAGGCACCAAGAGATGAGCACCACACATATTCTCGTAGTTTTCACAAGGGCTGGGATACTTGCAGTCTGTCTGTCTGGATTCAACATAGAACTTGGCACCGAAGTGCAGCAGTTCGAGTTGCCACGTTCCAAATAGCACACAGAGGTAGACAAGAAGATGAGTGAAGAGAATTAATAGAGTTTGACAAATATAAGAGTGAAACAGAATGGGTAATGGTAGAAAGGAATATGAAAGATTACAGAGATTGAATACATCTGCGCCATTGACAACGATTTTGAGCCATGTCACCTATTGTCTCCAGCCATTGATTCCTAGAGTCCCGAGGGCCCCAACCCGGGAGTCTGCATCTCCCTACCTGACTCAGTTTAACTGTCAAGGATTTCATGGATTGATGCCATGTTTTTGTTTGGCCACCACTGGCTCTTTTCCAACCTGAACCTATATCAGCTAACAATGCCCGTCGGGGGAGGCGGGTAGAGACAACTATACATCGACAAGTGTGGTTGTCTCAAGGAGCCCCCCTCGAACCCCTTAACTTAAAGTTCAATCCGCAAGTCAGTGGAGTAGCGTCAAGAGCTGTATTCCCATGGTTAACGGAGACTAAATTAGGTTTATGTGCCCATGTACATCATAGGCTTGGAAGCAAGGTTTTTCAGTTCCTTTAGGTAGACCAGCAATGTCAGCCAGTCCTTTTTCAAGCACTAGACATTCGCATTCGCTATTTCACTTTTGTGAAGAACACCGGTGGCGTAAAGAGTATACTGAAGATTAACTGTGAACAGAAAAAAGGTTTAAAACGTTTCGTGATTTTTAATACATACAAATGTAGGCAGTGTTCTTTTATTGGATATCTTCTCTAAATTACCTCTGGCATAATACTTCACATAGTAAGGCGTAAAAAAAATTCACTTTAGGTTGAAATACTAACAATAATGTTTTCAGTGTGATCGCATTAACAACACGCTGATTTCAAAGACGCAGCAACACCCGAAGCATCCGTTTCTCAAGTGAAGACTTTAGCCCGCTATATATTAATTCTCACAAAATATTTCTTTTAATTGCAACCACCAGTTGAGATAGACTTATTTCCATTTAAAACTAATAACTTCTATCGCGCGCGTACTCATACAGCCAGCTGGGGGCTCACGGGGAGCTGTCATCCGAACTGGTGACGACCAGTGGTGTCCGTCAAGGATACCCATTATCCCCTTTTCTATTCAACTTCATCATAGATGTGTTAATGGACTTAACCCTAAATGACTTCAGCGACTCAGGGATTGACTTGGTACCAGGGAATAATCTCGTTGACTTGGAATATGCAGACGATATAGTCCTCCCAACTAGGCGAGGACGCTGACAAAATGCAGAGTCTTCTGGACACCTTGAGCCGCAATCTACGAATGTTTGGCATGCGATTCGCTCCCGCCAAATGCAAGATGATGTTACAGGACTGGACTACATCGACGCCTAGTTTAAAAATAGGAAGTAACGTGGTAGAGCACGTTGACCGCTTCACTTATTCGGGAAGTACCATCAGCCCCAACGGGTTGATCTCTGACGAAATCTCAGCAAGGATACAGAGGGCTGGTTTCGCATATGCCAATTTACGCCGTCTCTGGCGTAGACAGGATATGCGACTACCGATCAAAGGGCGGGTGTACTGCTCATCAGTACGCTCCGTCCTCCTTTAAGGCTGGCTGTGAGACCTGGCCACTGAGAGTGGAAGATATGAAAAGACTAGCTGTCTTTGATCATAGGTGCCTGCGCTCTATTTCCCGTGTAAAGTGGCATAATAAGGTGAGCAACATTGAAGTTAGGCGTCGAGTTCTAGGTAAAGAGGGGAAATCAATCGACGAAGTCGTGAAGTTACAAAGACTGAGATGGTTAGGACATGTGTTACGTATGCTTAGTTATCGCCTTCCTCGACAACGGGCAATGTTAGCGGATATAGGGTCAGGCTGGAAAAGAGCTAGCGGAGGTCAAACCAAAACATGGCACCAGTCAATGAAATCCACAACAGTTAGTCTAAGCCACGCAGGAAGGTGTAGACTTCCTGACTGGTTGGGGTCCTCGAGACGGTAAAAATCTATGGTTGGAAACAATTGGTGACATGGCTCAAAATCGTTCTCAGTGGCGCAGATGCATCCACTCTTTGTGACTTATGATCTCCAATGAAACTGTTTTGTTTTTCTTTATTACTCCTTTGTCTCACCCCTCTGCTCACTGTCTCTATTATGCTTTTCTTGTACTTTCTTCTCTTGCTTTGTGTGCTACATGGAGTGGAGTGTGGCGACTTGAACTTCCGCACATTTGTGCAAAGTTCTATGTCGAAAACAGATAGACACACAGCGCAACAGATGGGAATGGACTAGACACAAGGTGAGGGAACTGTTGTGACATGACACTCCAAGACAGTCCTCGAGTAGAACCCGAGTGGAAAGCGATGATTCAGGCGTCGTCCTAGGTTGACACGGAAGAGTTCACTTGAAAACAGAATGAAAACTTATGGGCAATCGTGAAGCCAACTAGAAAGGACTTCAGGGAACAGGATGAAATAAGGATATGTGCTGTTGAAGCCTTGTATCCGACTCGTGATCCAAAGGAATAATAATAATAGATAACAAGGAAATGATATCGTTATGAATCAAATTACCTTGTTGGATAACCAAGTTATCCAATTTAAGCTTCATTTCAGCACGCATAATAATACGTTCTTCAACAGTATGTTCTGTAATTAATCTGAAGACACGGACAGTTTTAGTCTGACCAATACGATGTGCTCGATCCATAGCCTGTAGATCAACTTGTGGATTCCAGTCTGAATCATATATGATAACAACATCAGCTGTGGCTAAATTAATCCCCAAACCACCAGCTCTTGTAGAAAGCATAAAAAGAAACTTTGTTGAACCGGGACGATTGAATTCATCAATAGAAACCTGAAATCAGATAAAGGTGACTTTTTAGTTGAGTATCAAAACGACGTGTTTGCATAGAAACTAGATTGATTATAGACATTAGAAAAAAATGTGATGCACAGGCAGTGAACCAAGTCTAACGCATATAAGTCGACGTATGTAATGCAATTACCTAGAAAATTATATCGATATATATATATATATATATATATATATATATATATATATACTATTCTGTTTTTTGTATATTTTCTAAAGAACGCGAAATGCAATAATTAAGGCTGCGTAGACAAACTCATGATTTATGTTTAATGCCACACAAACTCGAAGATTTTCAGGTGAAAACAAACAAACTGGCAGAAGAGGCTGGCAACGAAGACAGGACTCTAGGTGAACATTGAGAAGACGGGGTGATGAAGATAACCAACCACAAGCAACAGCAACAACAGCCAGCATCAATCACCATCAACAGGAGAGATTTCATAGAGGTTATTTTTTTCACTTATCTAGGAAGCATCGCTTCAACCACAGGCAGTGAGAACGGATAAAGATGTCAAAACCAGCCAGTCAGAATCGGAAAGGCGAGATACACCTTCATCAATCCGAAACCAGTTTGGAAATCTTCTGCACTCAGTCACTCAGCATAAAGAACAAGATTCGTTCGGATATTCAACACTAATGGGAAGTCGGTCCTTCTATAGTGGTCGACAACTTAAGCGTGTAACGAAGAGGATTTCCAACGTGTTTCAGACTTTTACCAACAGCTACCTTCGCTCCCTATTGAAGATCGAATAACTGGCCAGCCAGGAAGAATTAGCAACAAGAAACTCTGGCTGAGAACAAACCAACGAAAAACCGATCGCTCAAAATATGTAGAAGAAAGTGGAGATTGATTAGGCACACGCTGGGGAGATCATCGAATGACATCACGAGCTAGGCCGCTAACTAGAGGGGAACCTAAATTGAAAACGACGAATTGTCGTCCCAGGGTGACATGGAGGAGAGTGTATTAGGAAGAGATGAGAGATTATGAGCAGTCGTGAGCTCAGCTTAAGGGGACAGCAAAAAGTAGAACAAAGTGGAGATGTGTTGTTGAAGTCCTATGTTCAACTCGGAACCGAAGGGAACAATAATAATAATTGATAAACTCATCTTCATTCAAACCACCGCAGTCATCAGAGTTTGCAGCATACATTAGTCGCTTGCTATCAGAGATACACAAAATTATTAATGAAAAAGTAAAACACCTGGTAGAGAAATTATTGACTGACTGGCCGAGTTTCAATGCAGAACTCTGTACCAAGTTGCAGCAGTTCAAAATGTCACATTCCATGTAGCATACAAAGCGGAGTAAAGAGAGAAAAAGGGGATTCAAAAGAACCATTATACAGAAATATACAGGCGTAAGAATAGTAACATGGAAAAACAACAGGGTGTAATGGATATAGGAGATTACAGAGTGAATGCATCTGCGCTACTGAGAACTCTTTCGAGCTCCATCACCAATGGTTTCCCGCCACCGGTATTCAGCATTCCGGAGACGCCAGCCAGACGATCCACATCATCCTGAGTGGCTCAAACCATTGTCAAAGACTTCATGGGAAGATCCTACCGCCGACTATTTTTCAACCTAGTCCTTTGTCAGCTAACATCGTTCTTTGAGGAAGACAACGGCTCGGCATGCGTAACATGTATCTTTGCCATATCAGTCAATTCGTTATCACTCTAATAGTAACATTAATATCACTCACCATATTTTATTGCTTAACACAGGAGACAGAATGCAAACATCTGTGATAAAAAAAATAGTCAGTCTTTTCATATCATTCACTTTCAATGGCCGTGTCTCACACCCGTACATAGAGATGGAGCGAACTGCGGCTGCACTGTTCACAGTCCTTTGATCGACAGTCAGCCAGATATCACGTCTTCCACCAGAGATGGAGTAAGTTGGTGAATCCCACATGTACCTTTCATATCCGCGCTCAGACTGCGTCAGCGATCACCCCGTTAGGACTGACGGAAATTCCCAAATAAGTGAAGCGGTCAACACGCTCTACCACTTCACTCTCCATCTTTAGGCTGGGTGTCGGTGTAGTCTAGTCCTGCAGCACCATCTTATGTTTGACAGGCGCAAATCGCATGCCAAGCATTGAAATATTTCTGCTTTTATCAGCGTCTTCAACTAGGAGGATTGCATCATCGACAAAATCAAAGTCAACAAGACTGCCCTGTGATAACAAGTTAATCCCTAAGTTGCTAAAGTCACTTAGGGTCAATCTCATCATTATATCTGCGATGAAATTAAAGAAAAATTGGATCAGTCGGCATCCCTGATGAAAACTATTGATTGTCAGAGTAATTACTGAGTATGATGAAAATAATCAGTACGCATTAAAGTGACAAACGTTTTCAGTAAACGCCAGACGTTTGATCATGGTGAAATGTATCTCCGAAGATATGAAACTTTTTTTTACTATAAGGACACTGAACAGAACTGAATATGCTGTGCCAAAAGTTCAAGAACAAAGCCGATGGTATTAGCATGACAAATGAAAAATAGCCTTCAGTGAAATTCTATAGATGCACACTGGACCAGATCAGATGGCTAGAAAGGACTAGCAATAAGGAACTTTGGTAAAGAACCAACTAAGAGGCTTTTGTCCAACAAATATGTCCACGGAAATGGAGATGGATCGGATACATGCTCAAGAAACCACTTAGTGATATCATGCGCCGGCCCCTCGAGTGTAGCTCAAATGGAAAACAAGTTGGGCATCGCCTCGAGGGTGACATGGAGAAGGGAGATAGTGTGAAGAGGAAATGACAGCTTATGAGAATGATGTTCAGGAAGGCTTTGTGTGCTTTTGGAAGTGTGTGGGCGGTTGTTACTTCCCGGTTGCCCACACCGTAGAAGTTGACTGATTCTTCGGGTACCTGAAACAGAAAGAGGGTTAGTGTTGCGTGACCGCAGAGCCCAGGGGACAACTGCTTGAGCCCGGCCGGTCACACACGGCTTGTATGAACTAGTTTCTGGGATTGGTTGCGGATTTGTAAACTTACCGCCGGTTACGAACCACCGTAGGGTAAGTCGGGATGTACAATTTTTAGGGTCGACCTTTTCTAACCCCCTCTCTCCGGAGTGGAGAGACAACATAGCTGGCATGCTGGTCATCTGAGGGAAATACTTTACTGCCGTTACATCCCTGTTCCCCAGCAGTACGACTTCGCCCTCAGACCCCCAGGATAGTGTAAGAAAGATTCTTACACAATTCCGGTAACTGCTTTTAGTCTGATCGCTATCCTAACAACCTTCCTGGCATGGTAGAACCTGCAGGAACATTGGTTTCAGCCGGTGTAGCTTTTTGGGTCACCGCGATGTGCAAGCCCAACCACCACGTCAATGTAGCAGCTATCGGTCAGGACAGCTTATGAGCGATGGTGGAGCCAGATAAAAAGAACTGCAAAGAAAAGGATGAAATGGAGATGTGCTGTTGAAGCCCTATGTTCCACGCAGAACTTAAAGGAGTAAAAATAATAACAAACTATTACAATTATAGTTTTAATGTGTTTTAATGTTAGAGAAATGTTCCAGATAACTTTAACAGTACTTACTTGGCGTTCTTCATGAGGTGTTGAACCATCCAATCGAAAATACTCATGACCACGCCATAAACAATAATCCTCTAGAATATCCATCATACGTGTCATCTGACTGAAGAGGAGAACGCGGGAGCCTTGCTCCTTCAGTTTTGGTAACAATTTATCCAACAGCATTAGCTTGCCACAATTATCAACAAGATGATAATCAGTAGTATACGGTGGACCCGGTTCCATACCATCGAACAAATAAGGATGATTACAGCATTTGCGCAGTTGCATAAGAATATTCAACAGACGAACACGATCCACCTTATTGCCGACTGAATTCACTAGATCGATATCTTTCATCAAAATCTTCGTGTACAACTCCCGTTGCATTTTACTCAGACCAATGTAAATCTTGCATTCTTTTTTCGGTGGTAAACGCTTTTCCACATCAGCTTTAATTCTTCTCAGCAGAAAAGGTTTGAGCACAGCGTGTAAACGTTGTACAAAGCTTTCTTCATGTGCAGTGTCCGTTTTAAACATATCATCGAACATATCAGATGAAGCGAATACCTCTGGCATTAGAAAATTGAGTAACGCCCATAACTCGTGCAAGTTATTCTGCAATGGTGTACCAGTGATTAACAAACGATTCTGTGAACGGAAATCTCGAACAATCTCGGATAATTTCGACTTTTCATTTTTAATACGATGAGCCTCATCGATTACCAAATACACGTAATTAAACTTTCTGATAACTGTCTTCTCTTTAATACACATTTCATAACTGGTGACAAGTACATCCCAATCTCTTTTTAAGATTTCATCTTGTATTTTTTGATTCTAAAAGGAAAATATGAAATTTTTTTTTAAAAAGATCGAACGGATTTACCCTTTCATCTTGATTCCCAATCAATGAAACTGCACGCAGAGAAGGAACCCATCGAGCGAATTCATTCATCCAATTTGACAGGGTAGATTTTGGTACAATGATAATATGCGGTCCAGGTTTATGACGATAGTGTTTCAAATAACCGAGCATTGATATTGTTTGCAATGTTTTGCCTAAACCCATTTCATCAGCTAGAATTCCATTTATATTGTTATGATGCAGTTGAATCATCCAGTTTAAACCACGTATCTGATAATCACGCATCTCTCCACCCTTCACATCTAAAAACAGAAAGACAAAGTTCAGTAAAACCTTGAGACCTACACCATGGAGATGCTTCGAAGCGTTGAATAGCAGTTGTTGCACCGAGTTTAGTCTCTGTCAGCAGTTCTTCATCTTCTTCTTTTTCTGTTCGTCGATGACGATGACTGGATACAACAGTTTACAAGGGTAAAGTTGCATGACTTACTCTGCAACAGAACTAGAAGTAGGTGAATTAATCCCAGCCTCTGGTTTGATTTTGGACGGACTAGATAGGTCTTTTAGCCCAGCACCTGTATACTTGATCTTGCTATAGAGCTCTGCTTTTTCCACCAATAAGTCAAGCTTTCGCAGAGCTCCCTGAAAATAAAAAAGAGATATAGTTAGATGTAGTCATACTTCAAATTGATAAAGAAAGCATGTATAAAGTAGTGTGCTGTGAATCAGTTAATATAGTATAGTATCCTCACAGTCAATAATTATTACGATGGAGGGAAGCAAATTATTACGCATCGAAAAAGTAAATAAGTAGGCACCCAGTGGGCTTCGAACTCAGGAACTTCTCGCTACATGTCAAGCTCGTAAACCATTAAGCCTACTGGGACACGACTAAATGGATAATGAACTCTAACTTCTACCAATTCGTGATTTTGCAGCAACCACTAGTCATCGCTGGCGCGTATTTGTCCTCACTTACAGCCGATGAGTCTCAGTACTTTCTGGTTTTCAGTGGTTCTCCAACTGATATCAATCCGTGATCACACTTGAAACAAGCTAACTCTTGAAAATCAATAAGTAAAAGAGGACTACTCGCAGTTTCATGAAGAAAACAACTGTCATCAGAAGTGATCCTAAATTACCGCACACAATGGTTCATCATTCCACATTTCAATAAGCAATTTATATTCACTGTTGATTTGACTTAGATAACTGTGTTCTAAGTGAATTCCAATAAATGGAAATTCGAGCCCGAAACCAACCGGCCAGAGATTTAATGCATACTTTGAAGGGGGTGAGGTGGGAATCTTACAATTTCACAGTGTCCAGAATGAACAGCCGCTTTACCTTATCCAGATAACAGCTTGTTATACAAATAGATAACCCTATGATGAATACATTAACAGTTAGTTTAAGCCACGTAGGGAGGTGTAGACTTTCTGACTGGTTGGGGTCCTCAGGATGATAAGAACCAATAAAGGCTGGACACAATCAGTGATATGCCTTAAAATCGTTCTTAATGGAACAGACGCATTGACTTTCTGTGATCTCCCGTATCTGACAAAGACCTGCTGCTGTTCTTTCTCTCTCCCATTTCTGCTTATATTCGTCTTTCCACATCTCTTTTTCTCTTTTGTCTTCCTTTGCGTGCTAAATGGAGTGTGGCGATTTGAACTACTGCATTTTTGTGCGAAGTTCTATGTCAGTTAGCCAGTCAGTCACTTTAATTTGATGAATGAATGAATAAATAAATAACGTGAAACAAAGCTTAAAAGTAGATACCCGTTTCAATATTCAGAGACTAAATATATTAGCATTTGAAAGTATCAGATGTTGACGGATTATCTTAAAACTTTTTGATGAACGATCAGAAAATCAAAAGAGAGATGACTTTCTCGTACAACTTTTATCGATGCTTTAGTACATTTTATACAGATATCAAGATGCCAGGCCATTCGACTGGAAGAAGTTGAGATGTTTCTGGAGCTTAAAAATTTCAGCCCTAAAAAGACATTTAAGCACATGAATAACTACCTGTCTTACGCCTGGCTGATAAAAGACGTCAGTAATGTTAACTCCACTACTGTACTGAAGTCCAACAGAGCATGAAACCATTTTGGCATGTAAGTTTCTACGTACTCTATAAGGCACTTGATTTAGAAAAACCTATTTTCCTATAGCTCAGATTAAATATACATGAGTGTAACAATCATATGGAATTTGGAAAAAATTTCACTTCCCATGACATAAAAAGGTAACAAAGTTGATTTTTCAATAAAAAAATGTATATTTTCAGGAGTTGATTTGTTTTTCGAGTTTGATCACGGATTGATGATATCAGCTAGAGAACCGTTGAAAACCAGGGAGTACTGGACAACTGTTTCATATTAGTTTGAGACTCATCGGCAGTACACACCCACATGGTCTATCCAGTCGGGAGTGTGGATGGAGTTCTCACTGACGACATTGATTGGTGGTCTCACTAAAATCACCAACTGGTAGAAGTTAGAATTCATGGGTTGGTCATTGAATCGGGTCCCAGCGGTTGAATGGTATACGAGCTTGCCTTGTAACCGGAAGGTCTTGGGTTGGAACCCCAGTGGGTGCATACTGTCGATGAGTCCCAAACTGGAACGAAACAGCTGTCCAGTACCCTCTGGTTTTCAATGGTTCTCTAACTGACATCATTCTGTGGTCAAACTCGAAAGAAATACATAATAAACCACCTAGAAAACTAGTCAATTAAATGGAATCAAAAAGGCTTTTTATTCAACCAACAGAAACCATAAGCTTGAAGGCTTACCTGAACATTATCGGGCTGACCTGTAGAGCTCGAATTGTTATTCGACTCCATCTAAATGACAAAACAAAATGAAGAAAATACAAGGAAACATGAGAAATGATCACACTGGAATGATGATAAGCAGTAAATTGTGCTTGGGAAGTCATCCAATGTGGAATTCTACTCCACTACAGCGATAAATTCTAATCTTACATTAAACGATTACAGTGATCATAAATTACCCAACTAACGGTAGCAAAAATTAAGAATCACTGCTCATGATAACTACTTGAGCTGAAATTTTTCCAGTAAGGAAATAAGAAATATTCCACAGTTAGATAAGGTAATGTATTGAAAATATAGTAAAAATATTTACCCACATCTATATATAAATTAACCGTTCACAAAACGCTAGCCACAATCATCGCAGAATTAGGCTCTCTTTTGATTACTCTAACTACTCACTAGTCATCTAAATTGTATTCAATTCAAACTGATGCCAATCAACATTTCAGCCTCCAAGAAACAGATTTTCAGGCATATATTTTAACTCCAAATGTTGGCGCTGTGCACCTAGTTAATAAATTTGGTTTCCAATCAAAAAGTAAAACTGAAGAAATAATCCATGCACTACGATAACCAATGAAGACGCAAATGTTAGCTGGCATAAGATCAGGTTGGCAAGAGTTGAGGGTAGGGTGGTCACGTTAAAACCTGTAATCAGCTTATGAAGTCTTCGACGGCTGGTTGGCGCAACGCAGAGGATTGCAAACTATCTACTTGGGAGTTCTCAGAATGCTAAAAATCAATGACTGGAGACTACTAGTGATATGGCTCAAAATCGTCCACAATGGCGCAGACACATTCACCCATTGTTTTTTTCCTTCACGTTCCCCAGTGGAACATAGGGCCTCAAGCTAGTGGCTTGAAGTTTCCGTAGCGGTGTTCATTTTACCGGATGGGGTTGCTAGCCTCATGCCCAACCTCTCCTCTTCACCAGGATTATTTCTGGTTTAGCGAGGTAAAGGAGTGCGTCGGCCGATGATCGAACCCCTGACCATGTGCATGGTCGGCGGGCGTCCTAACCGCTATGCCACCGACACTTCACCCATTGTAATCTTTCATAACTCACACACTTCTGCTTATTGTAGTTAATGGACTTAACCCTAGGTGACTTCAGCGACTCAGGAATTGACTTGTTACCGGGGAATAATCTCGTTGACTTGGAATATGCAGACGATATAGTCCTTCTAGGCGAAGACGCTGATGAAATGCAGAGTCTTCTGGACACCTTGAGCCGCAATCTACGAATGTTTGGCATGCGATTCGCTCCCGCCAAATGCAAGATGATGTTACAGGACTGGACTACATCGACGCCTAGTTTAAAAATAGGAAGTGAAGTGGTAGAGCACGTTGACCGCTTCACTTATTTGGGAAGTACCATCAGCCAGTGCCAACGGGCTGATCTCTGACGAAATCTCAGCACGAATACAAGGGGCTCGTTTCGCATTTGTTAGTTTACGCCGACTCTGGCGTAGACGAGATGTTCGACTATTGACTAAAGGGCGGGTGTACTGCTCATCAGTCCGCTCCGTCCTCCTTTATGGTTGTGAGACCTGGCCATTGAGAGTGGAAGACATGAAAAGACTAGCTGCCTTTGATCATAGGTGCCTGCGCTCTATTTCCCGTGTAAAGTGGCATAATAAGGTGAGCAACATGGAGGTTAGGCGTAGAGTTCTAGGTAAACAGGGGAAATCAATCGACGAAGTAGTGAAGCTACATCGACTGAGATGGTTAGGACATGTGTTACGTATGCCAAGTCATCGCCTCCCTCGACGAGCTATGTTAGCGGATATAGGGTCAGGCTGGAAAAAAGCTAGCGGAGGTCAAACAAAAACTTGGCATCAGTCAATGAAATCCACAACAGTTGGTCTTAGCCACGTAGAAAGGTGTAGACTTCCAGGCTGGGGTCCTCGGGACGGTAAAAATCTATGGTTGGAAACAATTGGTGACATGGCTCAAAATCGTTCTCAGTGGCGCAGATGCATCCACTCCCTGTGACTTATGATCTTCAATGAAACTGTTTTGTATTTCTTTATTACTCCTTTGTCTCACACCTCTGCTCACTGTTTCTATTATGCTTTTCTTGCACTTTCTTCTCTTGCTTCGCGTGCTACACGGAATGTGGCGACTTGAACTTCCGCACATTTGTGCAAAGTTCTATGTCGAAAACAGACAGACAGACAGACAGTTCTTTTGAATCGCTTTCATCTGCCATGTAAGCTACATGAGATATGGCAACTCGAACTTCTAAACCCCTATGGAAAATTCTATACCGAGATCCAGTAAGTCATCCTAAATCGACTTTACCAGTAAATGCATACTACTTCACACAGGTGACATTGACTTCCATTGGGTAAGCGTATAAATTATCAACAAAATGCACACCTAATAAAGTTTGAACTCCATTACGTCTAAATGGTGGTTCCATAATACGAATCAAATGTCAAAACAGGCTACGTTATCGCCCTCAAGACAATTCCAACTATCTACTTCCCTCTACAACTCCTACCTTCATATATTTGTCAGTATTGTGTGTTATAGAAACTATTTGACTCAGTTAGAGGTCTGTTGAGGATCTACTACTCCACAACAGTTGGTTTAAACCAGCCACTTAGGTGAGTATAGACTTCCTGACTGCTTGGGGCCTTCGGGATGGTAAGAACCAGTGTCTGGAGACAATTTCTGGTATGGTTCAAGATTTTTCTCAATAGTGCAGACGCATTCAGTCTTTGAGATTTGTCATATCCAATAAAACTCTATTGTTCCTCCATATTTGCATTGCTTTTCCCTTCTATTTCTGTTTATAATCTCTGTTTTGAATCTCTTTGCTATCTACTTTTGCTTTGTGTACTACAGGGAGTGTGGCAACTCGAACTGCTGCACATCTGTGCAAACCTCTGCGTTGAAATCAGTCAGTCAGCCGTTATTCCAAAAATGGTTGATTAGATCGTGACAAAAGCAACTGCCTCCACGCATATACTTCATTCCTTTCTTAACGTCTTTTGAACACTGTGGAAATTGGAGTGATTCACCTTAATACCTGGAGTTTTGACTATTCATTTCTTTGATTCTGCAGGTAATCACAAAACATGAATTCGCAGAGCAGAAACTGTACCCCTGCACCGGTCGACTTGATAATGTTCCCACTGTGATGCAAATTATTTATTATGCAAGCGCTCATAGACCTAACAACGAGCCAATATCTACTATCACGCCGCCAAAACCACAGATGCACTATGAAAACCAAGCATCACTTCTTTCAAGTGTTCTTAACGCCTGCTTAGTCTGCCTTAGGGTGCACAGTTTGACTAGTCTATTGCGAAAACATTAGACCTATTGTTACTCTAAAGGTAGATGGTTTTCATTAGTAACAAACCAAACAAATACCAGGAAGACAGGTGCACATCCTCGTATAACCGCATAAGAATTTAAATAGCCACAACACGGCACTAATCAAGGGGTTAAAAGTGTGGCGAAGGGATAAGAACAATTGAAGTCGCAGGACACCAGTGAACAAAAGAATGCGACTAAGATTATACATGCCTGTTGCTGAGACCAACTTTGAGCCGTATAACCCTACTGCTTCTGACCATAGACATCTCTCCATGTCCTCTAATATGTCTCACACAACATTTGCCATTTTACCAACGAAACCTCTGACGTCAGATCTTATATGATCCAGGGTAGCATCCGGCTTAACACACTCATATATAACTTTGCGTGAATTTTTGAAATGGATTAATGTAACCTCGACAAGCCTAGGGTTTATTTGTTATTTTGTTCCACTAACTGAAGATTAGCTTTAAGTCAAGTTGGTGGTCAAACTAAACCAACACATAACACATCCGTGAAGACCATAGAGGTTGACTTGAGCTGTAAGGTACAAATGACATACTACGTTTTCGCCAAACAACCGAAAACAATTATCGGGGACAGATTACATGATATCAGCTATGGAGATGCATTAGTGATCATCATTCGCCTTTCACTGCAATATAACATCCATTCTCTAGTTTACCAATGCCTTTGTACTTGAATATTGCCTACTACGATTAATCTTTATTCTTGTTTTTGTTATGCGAACAAGAAATAGCCGTCTAAGTCCTACTGTACAGATGCAAGTCTATATCAGAAAACTACAGGTCAATACGGATTTCTCAACCAAAAAGATGTACCTACAAGTACCTACAAGCCCGACCGAAAGCTGCTACCTTGACGTGGTGGTCGGGCTTGAACACCGCAATGACCTAATCAAGCTATACTGGCTGAGACTTATGTCTCTTGAGGTTCTACCATGCCAGGCAGGTTGTTTGGATAGCGGTTAAACAAAAAGCAGCTACCCAATCCAACATCATGTCCAATACAAAATTACAAAATTTCATGCCGGATCGGCCGTGGCCCGGATTAACAACGACCGCGCTTCCTGCTGCCGTGTCACAGGGCGGGAGTGATAAATCTGCTACTGAGACACACAAAACAAAAAGAACAAACAAAAACAGGCCGCGTGTGACCGGCCTCAAGCAGTTGTCCCCTGGGCTCTGCGGTCACGCAACCAACTTCCACGGTGTGGGCAGCCGGGAAGTAACAATCGCCCTCACAATCCGAAATGCACACGAAACCTCTCTATTACTCACTCATCTTTGTCTTCATCTTCATCTCTATCATCTTGCCTTCCTTCCACTGATGCAACTCCTCGACTTGATAGCTCTCCACTTCCTCTCCACTCTGCGTCCACTAAAAACGATGGAAGCCAAAAAACCACCACCGACAGCCTCTTAAAGCCGCGCCACCAATTTCATATAGGAGCTCTTAATGTTAGGACACTTTGCCAAATAGGACAACAAGCATCACTAGCCAAGACCCTGGCATCACGAGCCATTGATGTATGCTGTGTTTCAGAAACACGCATACAAGACCCAAGTGTGGTTATTCACCTAACCCCACCTGGCCAACAGGTTGAATCTGCAAAATTCACCTTGAGGGTGTCAGGAGATGCCACAGCTAGTTCACGAGGATTAGCTGGCGTAGGGATAGCTTTGAGTACTAGGGCAGAAAAGACATTGCTTGACTGGATCCCGGTAGATAGCCGAATGTGTGCTGTCCGCCTGAACGGATCAGTAAGAAGGAGGAAGGACTGCACTACTCGCCGATGCCTTTTCGTAATCTCCGCCTACGCCCCCACTGACTGCAGTTCAGATGAAACGAAGGATGAGTTCTACCAAAAGCTGTCTAGTTTGGTGAGAAAGGCTAAACGCTCAGACATAGTCGTTCTAGCTGGTGACTTTAACGCTCAAGTAGGGAAATTGTGTCAATCTGAGAAGGATGTCGGTGGCACCTATGGAGTTCCGTGCCAGCGAACCGACAACGGTGACCGTCTCCTACAGTTCTGCTCTGATAATCATTTGTTTCTTGTAAGCACTAACTTCAAACACAAGGAGAGACACTGTTTGACTTGGAGACCCCCTTCATCAAACCAACGCTGGACACAAATAGACCACATAGCAATAAGCTATCGTTGGCGTGGGTCGGTAGGAGATTGTCGCTCCTTCTGGAACACGTGCGTAGATACCGACCATGCACTGGTCCGCGCTCGGGTGTGCTTACGACTGAACGGACGTAGGAAACAGCTGGCGGTAAAACCATCACGTCCCCAGCTCGATCAGGAAACTAAATCCGTATTTGAGGAAGAACTAGCTAAACACATATCTGTGTTCGACAGCTGTGCTCACCCTGAAGAAGCTTGGAAAAATATCCAGGCAGCCATAGATACAGCTGTAAAAGCTGTGAATAAGGTAAACCCAAAGGTGAGTAAAAACCACTGGATCTCCACCGCCTCATCCGAACTGATAGATGCTAGAAGACTTATTCCGGCGAGCTCCGAATTCAATGAGGAGCGAAAGCTGCACAAGAGGAAACTTACGAAAAGTCTCCGCAAGGACCGTGAACAGT